TAAAAGCTCTAATTCAGTTAGGAGTAGAAAGTAAAACTGAGGAAGTGTTTCAGGCTCTGAGAGAGGTAGGGGTTTAGTATAATTAGACAGCACTAAATTTTTCTTGCTAAAGACCTAAGAGAAACTTTTCTTCTCCGCCCTCTTCCTTATGCTACGACTATTTTAAAAGTCAAAGTTCATCTAAAAAGTTACTAACTTTTTATTATGATATATTATAAAGTAAAACTATAAATATATATAATAATAAAAATAAAATTATGACATTTTGTTGCGAACAAATAAGAAAAGCGTACGAGCTAATGGGAAGAGCCAAGAATGTTCTTGACTGAAAACCTGAGGGATTTGGGTTTAGTGATTTTGTAACGGGAGTACTCACCCTTAATACGACAACTGGAATTAAAGTAACTAATTATTTAAATGAAGCAGGAAAAAGAATGGTAGAAGCTCATAATATTTTGTGCGAGGCTAGAAATGCAGTAAATTTGTGTAAGTGTGGAATAGAGAAGGCTTTCTGAAAAGAGGAGGAACTAAAAGAGAGACAGAGAGCAAATAACATTGGTGAAAGATTTAATGAACTTGTTGACAGATACGAAGAACGTTCAGAGGAATACAAGAAGAATATCAAAGATTACAATGAATTGCTTGGTAATAACAGAGAATTGATGGGGAGGTTCGAGTCTTTACAGGAAAGGTATACTGAATTAGATGACAGATTTGGTGATAAAAATAGAGAGTGTGAAGAGTTAAAAAGAAAATATGAAAATGAAAAACAAAAACATTATGAAGAAGGTTTAAACGTTGCTCTAGCACAGCAGGAAAATAAGAGTTTATCACAGCAAATAGATGATAAGAATCAGCAGTTAATGAAAGTTACTGGCGAAAAGAGTCAATTAACAATCAAAGGGGAAGAAAAGGGTAAAAGTATAGAAAAACTAACTATTCAAATTGCTAACTTGCAGGTAGATAATAACAAAATTCGTCAAGAGTTAGCCAAAATTCAGGAAGAAAAAAATAAAAAAAAGCAAAAAGATGAATGGAAAATTGCTACTCTGCATGAACAGTTGATTCGGTCACAAAAAGATAAGATAAGTGGAGAACTTAATAATAAAAAGAAGAATTTAGAGGTTCTTTTTCACGAATCCGGGGTTAATCATCAACAGTCACGTAAACTACAAGATGCCTATGATTGATTAATTCATTCTCAGCAAAATTACAATAGTGATAACGTTAGAAGAGCTGAAAATAATATCAAAGAGATAAAAGAAGAAATTTTTCTTTCTCGCTGCAAAGTTCGTAGGTTTCCTTCTTCTAACCTTTTCATCTCTCAAGTTAAAGCCTCGTTTTTTCTTTCGCTTCCAAAGTTCTCGCTTGCAACATGACCATTTTTCCAGTAATTAAGAAAGTCACTATCAAGAAAAAAAGAATTGTTTTGAAATGCAAACTCTTTTTGTTCAACCCGCTTAAATAAATCTTTTTTTGGCAATTTGTCTTTTTGATCTTTTGAACTTGTTTCACCACTCGATTTATTTTTTTGGCTGAAAACAAAAACACGGTGCTTAAATTTATCACGGAAAGCACAAACGTCTCACACATTTATCAGATCATTTATCTGCTCTCTGTAATTACGATGCTCTTCGGGTAAATCTTCTATTTTTAAGTTTTTGTCAGCAAGCAACCTTTCTATAGATTCGATAACTTCACTCCTAACTTTGTTAAGTTCAGGATTGTTTATACCAGCTGCAAGTTCGGCTCCTCTCTCTCTAATTGCCTTAATCATTTTTTCCTTGAAATTGTTTATTTTGCTCTTATCCAAAAAACCTTCAATACTTCTATCTTCTCTAATTTCTATTTCACTTAGTTTGTCTTCTCACTTCACATAAGGATCTCACAAATTACTGTTTAAGTGTTTGCTTTGCACTCAGTTTAGCGACATCTCACGATCTATTTTTGACCTTATTCGGCTACGAATCAACATTCTTTGCACCGCAAGTGCTTTTTTAAACATTTCTGCATAAAATTTTTTCGCTTCTTCATGAATTTCATCCATCGCTTTTGATTGTTCATTATTTTGTGATGAAAAAAAGTCAATTTCGCCAGCATCGTATCGTCTTCTTAACTCTTCTACACTCAAAACTTCATAAGCTTGATTAATTTCTTTCATTCTTATATTAGCTTGCATACACTCTTCCGGACTCTTGCTGGCTCACTTGTCTGGGTGCCAACCTAAGGC